TTGTGATTTTTTTTTTTGTGTGTGTGTGTGTGTGTGTTAATTTAACTATGAACTCTGTAATTGTGTCAATTGAACTCTTATATCTGTCTCCGTTAGATTGTGTCACTCATGTGACTATATATGACACAAAAAAAATAAAAAAACTCAATTGACATAATTAGAGAGTTTAATAACCCAATTGACAAAAAAAATAAAACTAGGGGTTCCATTGACACAAGGGTCATAGATATAATTTACTCTAACCATTTATTTAATGTGAGTGGCACGCTTTCGGCACTTTTCATTATAAAATCTAACATAATAGAAGGGTTCAATTAACACAATTAGAGAGTTCAAAAGCTCAATTGACACAAAATAAGTTCAAGAACTTTATTAACATAAAAATCATAATTTAAAGGTTATATATATATATAAGCTAGATTGTGTAAAGTGACTTATTTTATTTTAAAACCCTTAAAAACTACAGTATTTAAGCTAGAGTAAAACAGACACATTATATCTAAATGTCTTTAAAGATTTATGTCACAAATTGTCTTCACTAAAGTTAACGGTGGGAAAATATCAAGGCCCAAATATCTTAGTGATCTTGAAGTATTCCAATAACAGAATAAATATTTTACAGACAACCCGTAAATTAATTGTTTACAGGCAGTCAATTAAAATTTGACAACTACATAAACACAAAAACTAATGCTGAAGATTTTCAATAAGTTTGTATAGTTGTCATATTTTGATTGGTTGCCGATAAACAATTGGGAATCCTCAACATTGGTTTTGTGTTTGTATAATTGTCAAATTTTGATTAACTATTTGTAAACAATTGGTTAAGGATTCTCAATAAATTGGTGTAGTTATCAAATTTTGATTGATTGCCCGTAAATAATTGATTTACAGACCGTCTGTAAATCAATTTATTCTTTTCCAATAATCACCATCACACACTAATTTTAGTATATTATATGTTAACAACTCAACACGAACAAAAGACATGAATGTATTATTCCGTGAAAATAAGATCAAAACTTCCCATGACAACGTTGTATCATTCAAAGTTGTAAAAAAAAATTGTGTCATTCAATTCCATTTTTTAGTCCTCTTTTTCAAATTGATCATGATAATGCCATCTTTACTCAGAGAATTCTGTAGCTAAAAGACACAAGAATAGTGAATAAATAAAATGAATGAATTGAATTTTCTTAATATAAACGTATACATTTTCCTAGCTTTTGTTACTTTAAAAAAAATTCTAAAAAATATTATCTATAATCCCCCACAAGCTCAAATTAGAGTGGTACATGATTGGGTCGATGGATCAAACAAAGCAGGCAGCAAATACTTCCTCCCATTAGCACCATTCGCATTGTAGCTGGCACCGGTGGTAGGGTCGACCAACAAGTCCCCAGCATAGCCTGGGTAAGCTCCCTTAGCATAAACCCCAGGACAAGCCGAGGCAGCCTCTAGTGGTGCACCAGCTGGTCCCTGATAATAGCCATTTCCAAATGGGTTCGTGACCGTCCCAGCCAAAAGGCTAGCCAAGGTTATCACCATTCCGGCGGAACCTATATCGCCGTTGGGTGCAACCAAGGGTGGGCTCTGTGGTCCGTAGATGGGTTGGTGAAATGGCCAGGCACAGAAACCAGGACATTGAGTCTCCGAGTTACCAACCCAGATGTATGCAAACTTGTGATTTTTGCCCTCAACAAGGGCAGTTTTGGAAGAAAGAGACCCGTGGGACCCACATCTACTCGAACAAAACCCATCAACTACCACGTCAGATGAAGTTAATACCACATTGATGGCGTTGACCTGATCACCTGTAGCTGCCAACCGTTCGATTTGTTGACTGGTGAGTGATTTGCCCAAAGAGTAATTTTCATCAAGGACTTGATTCCCCGTGGAGAGCTGGACTGAAGATGGGTTCTTGGAGTTGATCAGGCTATAGTATTTCTCGGTGGCTTTCCACCACTCGGCGACAGAGGGTTGGCTCTGAGACGACGGAGATGACAGTGACGCGATGAAATCGGAGATAATGGCTCTCTGGGAAGGCTTGAAATTGCCGTACCATATGACATTGATGGAGATTTTTCCGGTGAGAAGAGGACCGTTGTGGTATTGGAAGAGTTGGGTTTGCTGATCTTGGGTAGACTCAGTGAGCCTCCTCGCTGCCAATGCAAGGTTAAGCAACAGGGCAAATTGGAAGATTGGCAGAAGCATTTTGACAAACACATAAGAGGCCATTTTGTATATAAAAATTTTGATTCTATAGAAGGTGATATATTGGTATGCGAGGTTAAGAGTGGAGAGAACAAGAGGTGGGGAGGTTGTTTATATACTAGAGGATGACGATAGAAAGAAGCATCAAGGAAAGAAGGGAAAAAGTGAATCTATCGAAGTGCGAGTGAAATGCCAGCTTACAACGCGTTGTTTTAAAAGGTTTTGTAGGTGTGTAACCACCGACCAGAGAAAGAGACAAGATTGGGGCTGTCTGGCCAGTGCACATTTGAGAATGGGATGCTCATGTACTAAGATCTACTTTGTCCTTGACAGTTGGGCTCGCAAATAAGGAATTAGAGGAAATCTGCAGACACGGTAAAACATAAATCAATCAATTAAATTAAAAAAGTGATGAGTGAATATCTCTGAGAACAATGACAGAGCCAAATATATGATTTTAGATGGACACATTTTAAGTATAATAAATAAAAATGGTGTGATATATTTATATTTTTTATATTAGATTTGATACTTAAAAATTCATTAAACATAAAAGAAGTCTATTTGAAAAAAATTAATAAGATAATATCTATACATTAAGGATCAATAATATAATTTATTTGATACAAAAAAAAAATAATATTCTATAAGTTTTAATCTTTTTATAAATTCTATATTTTACTCATTTGTGGCTATATATTCTATAATTTTTGGATCAAATGAGACTTCAATAAATTATACCAATACTCTAAGGAATCAATTTTAGTTTACAAATTTTAAGAGATTTGATATGAACATTTTGTTTTTGTTTTTTTGTTCTAGTACCCAACTTGTTTGATCCAATAAATTTTATTTTTCATAAATCATTACAGTGCGTCCAACCAATCTAAAAAAATATATAAAATATATATAATTAAAAAAATAAATTTTTTTCAGGGTGGCCCTAGACCCCTCCTCCTTCTGCCACTGCTAGAGAAAGAGATTGAAGAGTGAGAAGAGGAACATAAAATTCAATATAAATAGTATTGAGAGAGATATTAGTGGTTGTTTGATAAGTTTATTTGAGACCGTCGGATGAGCTTGTTGAACCCACACTATTTTATATTATAGAATCTATTTCAATTCAAACCGCTCTATTTTATATTATAGATTATATAATATAAAAAAAGGGCGGGTTCAATAAGTCCATCCGATGATCTCAAATAAACTCATTCAACGACCACCAAAATCTCTCTCAATACCATTTACTTTGAACTTTTGATTCAAGACATATGTAAAGTATGTTAGTTTGAGATTGTTAATTAAATAAATAAAATTAAAATTAATTATATTCAATACAAATGTGTTAATCAACGCCCTATTTTTTTTTTTTAATCTGTTAAATTGATGAATTTTTTTTTAATCAAAATATTATAATTTTCTCTTTTACAAATTTAAAATGTTACACTGCACAGTTGATATTAATGACAAATTTGAACCATTTAATTATTATGTTAGAGAAAATCTTGTGATCCAAGTTTGATGTAATCTTTGACTAGGTGGGAGGGAAAATATTAAGGAAAAAAAGTTAATTTCTTGATTGTTGAATGAATAAATTTGAAACTGTAAGATGTGTTCTAAGATCATTGAATCTCTGAATGGAAAATATTGGAAAAATGAAATTTCTTGACCGTTAGATGAATGAATTTGAGACCGTAGGATAGACTTACAGAAGCCGCCATATTTTTTATTATAAATTTAGATTTGACACGAATAAAAGCAATATTCTATAATTTTTTTTTAATTACAAATTTTATATTTTACTCATTTGGCTATGTATTCCATATTTTTTGAACCAAATGAGGTTCAACAAATCATATCAATACTCTAAATAATCAATTTTAGTTTGCTAATTTTAAGAGATTGATATGAACTTTTTTTTTTTTTTTTTGTTTTAGTACCCAACTTGTTTGACCTAATTAATTTTTTTTTTCATAAATCATTGCAGTGAGCCCAATTAATCCAAAAAAATATATAAAACTTATATGAATAAAAAGAAAAATATTTTTTCAGGGTGCCCCCAGACCTCTCTTCCTCTGCCATTGTTAGAGAGAGAATGTGAAGAGTGAGAAGAGAAGGTAAAATTTAATATGAATGATTTTGAGAGAGATTTTGGTGGCCGTTAGATGAATGAATTTTAGACCGTAGGATAGGCCTGTTGAAGCCGCCCTATTTTATATTATGGATATTATAGATAAATTTACAAATATGATAAAATTGACTTAAAACAAATGTTCATTTATATACATGTAATCAAAATCGAGTTAAATTTATTACAAACTAAAAATTTAATTTATCAAAAAGCATATCGCCAAAATATTTTCTATCAAAAAAATATCTACAAATATCATTTCTAAAATATTATTTTTTTAATTAGTACAATCTATTACAAAATTATTAATTTAAAAGAATATATTAGTGTTGGGTTTCCTTAAGATATAAAAAAAAAATAGTCCTGAATTTTTGATTCAAGATATGTATAAGACATGTTAGTTTGAAATAATTTATTAAATAAATAAAATTAAAATTAATTATATTCAATATAAATGTGTTAAGCAACGCTCTTATTTTTGTTTTATCTTAAATTAATGAGGTTTTTTTAATCAAAATTTTATCATTGTGTCTTATACAAACTCAAAATATTACACTACACAGAAGATATTAACGATTAATTTGACTTATTTAATTATTATGTTAGAGAAAATCTTGAATTCTAAGATCAGTTGTAATCATTGACCGATTATAAGAGAAAATATTAAAGAAAAAAATGTTATTTTCTTGACTGTTTGATGACTAAATTTGAGACCGTAAGATATGTTCTAAGATCAACCGTAAGATATGTTTTAAGACTATAATCGTTGACTTATTGGGCAAAAAATATTAAGGAAGATAATTGTAATTTCTTAACTGTTAAATGAATGAATTTAAGACCGTTGAAAAAAATATTAAGGAAAACAATTGTAATTTTTTGACAGTTAGATGAATGAATTTGAGATCGTAAGATCGATTTGTTGAAGCGCTCTATTTTATATTATAGATTTACTTTATAGGTTTCATTTCAAGGTATAGCTGTCGACCCAACTCTAAACTCAAATCGGCCACCCACAATGTTGAAATAACTAGAGCATTTTCTAAACTCAATTAATTGACACTCATATATTATCGAGTTTGTATCGGGCGATAGGGAGGTTATGCAGGAATCACCTGAATTTTGGATTTATCAGTTGATTGATTCATGTATATAAAATGTGTAAGTGGTATTTAATCAACTTCATTTTTCATTAAGTCGGATTTGTGTTAATTTATTTAGATAAATAAGTCTTATAGGTCCGTGCGTTCATTAGTCAATCCCTCTAATTCGCTATCAATTTCGTATTGAGTTTATATATGTTTAGAGTTGCTTACCCTAAACAACCTAGGTAGTCCCTTAAGGCCTCGCATTGAAAGAAAGACCATAATTTTTTTAAAGAAATTTCTCTTCCTTGTTTCGTAAATGGTTTCCTAACATAATTTTCTTTTGAGAATCAAGAAACAAAGCATGTTTGCGAATGAATTGCAAGATCAACAATGATACCACATTGGAAAAAGACCGAAAAGAAATACTTGTGAAACTTTAAAACAACATTAAGAATATAAAAAATTTCGTTTTTCGTATCGTTAAAAATATATTTGGATTTAAACAGATATCTTATTTTGTCTCTTATCTTAAATTATTATTGTAAATATCTTTCCACAAAATCTCTTTTGAATCCTGCAGTAGCAAGATTTTTCAACCACAGGAATGCTCTCTCTTTACATGTGTCTACTAGAAAACATAGGGTCCTTGGCTCACCATAATCAGCTTAGACCTCTCAATTTCATATAATTTTGTAAAAATTGTTAAAAAGGACACCTCAAGGTCCTATTAGACTTGTTAGTCTAAATATCGTTGAAGGGTAAGAGAGGTTGTGAAGTTGGTTTCTTAGATATTTTGCAAAACCAAAGTAGAGCACGCGAGTCCTCATTAAAATAGGCATTGACATCGTCACATCCTTGTGGCGATATCAATCGGCTATCACTCCCATTTAAGGTTTGATTAGGGTTTCTAGATGAAATATTAATCACTTGTTGTCATATTGATATGATGCGAGATATGCTTGTGTTTTCGTGTTTTTCGGATTGAGATTATGTGGAGCGCTTTGCCATTGATCATACCCAAGAAAAAAATTTAGAACCACTTATAATCTCTCTTAATCTTAATCGCTCTCAATTATAATTTAGAACCACTCCTTTTCTCCCTTAATATCTCACAAGTTTATTTTATTTTTGTTTTCATTATGTGCCAAAACTTGTAATTCTCTGTATTTTTCTTTAGTCAATTCACTTATCTACATATGTAAGTTGTTCAACATATTACAAGATGTATTTTAAAATTTTCAAAAATCTTGAAACTTAAGAATTCGGAAGAAAAACATTTTTAGTTAAATTATAAGTTTAGATTTGTTTCTGCATCAAATAGTTATAGTAAAAAGGAGGCAAAAAACCAAAAAGGAAACAATGTCAAACAGAAACAGAACTTTAGACAAATAAACGAATCAATGAATTCTTTTATATATATTTCATCGTGTACATCCTATTAATCTCCATATTCTAAACATAACCACTCTCCATTGTTTTAAACCAAAGTGGAACATGAAGAAGTTGAAGGATTATATAAAGCTGGAAGCAAGTACTTCCTCCCATTCGCACCATATGCATTGTAGCTAGCACCAGTTGTAGGGTCCACTAACAAGTCCCCAGCGTAGCCTGGATAGGCCCCCTTAGCATAGACTCCAGGACAAGCTGAGGCTGCCTCAAGTGGTGCACCCGCAGGTCCTTGATAGTAGCCATTTCCGAAGGGGTTCGTGGCAGTCCCAGCCAAAAGACTAGCCAAATTTGAAACCATTGCGTCCAAACCCAAATCATTATTGGGTGCACCTAGAGGTGGAGTTTGTGGTCCGTAAATG